GCAGTGCGCAGTGAGTAGTGAGTAGTGGGTCGTGGGGAGTGGGTAGGGAGTAGGGAGCAGGGAGCAGGGAGTAGCGAGTAGTGAACAGTGAGTCGCGACTAGCGTACTGTGAGTAGTGAGTAGACAGGAGGGAGTAGTCAGCAGTGAGTAGCGAGTAGGGAAAAGCGAGTAATGGGTAGTGAGTAGGGAGTAGGGAATAATAAAAAGTGAGAAGTGAGAAGTATTGAGTATTGGGCACAGGGTAGTGCGTAGGGAGTAGCGCGTAGTGAGTTGGGAGTAATGAGTAGTGAGTAGTGAGTAGTGAGTACGCATAGTGAGTAGTGAGTAGCGACTTGTGACTAGTGACTAGCGAATAGAAAGTAGGAAGTCGTGGGTAGTGAGTAGCGAGTAGTGCCTAGTGAGTAGTGAATATTGCGTAGTGGGTAGTGATTAGTGCGTAGTGCGTAGTGAGTCGTCAGTAGTCAGTAATGCGTACTGAATAGTGAGTAGCGAGTAGCGTTCATGAGTAGTGAGTTGTGGGCAGTGAGTAGCGAGTAGTGAACTGTGAGTACTCAGTAGTGAGTATTGGATAGGAGTGAGTGAGTAGTGGGTAGTGCTTAGTGAGCAGTGAGTATTGGGCAATGAGTCGTTTTCTAGTGAGTAGGGGGTATTGATTATTGGGTAGTGAGTAGTGATTGTGAGTTGGAAGTAGGGAGTAGTGAGTCGTGACTAGACGGAGCGTAGTGCGTAGTGAGCAGTGGGTAATGAATAGTGCGCATTGGGTAGCGAGTAGGGCGTAGGGAGTAGCGAGTAGTGAGTAGTGAGCAGTGAGCACTGTGTAGTGAGTAGGGAGTAGCGAGTAGTGGATAGTGAGTAGGGGGTTGTGGGCAGTGAGTAGTGAGTAGTGAAATGTGAGGAGTGGATAGTGGTTAGTGGGCAGTGAGTAGTGATTTGTGATTAGTGCGTAGTGGGTAGTGAGTTGTGTTATAGTGAGTAGTGAGTATTGCGTAGCGGATAGTGAGTAGTTAGTAGTGAGTTGTTGGTAGGGAGTAGTGAGTAGTGCGTAGTGTGTAGTGAGTAGTGGGTAGTGAGTAGTGAGTCGTGAGTAGTGAATAGTGAGTAGCGAGAAGTGAGTAATGGGTACTGAATAATGCGTAATTCGTAGTGAGTACTGTTTGGGCCTAGTGTTCGGGTTTGGGTTTAGGGTTGGGGTTTAGGTTAAAGGTGAGGATTAGCGTTAGGGGTGGTAGGGGGGGTGGGTTCTGGAGCCCGGGGGCGCCGTGGCGAAAAGGGGGGAGGGGGGAGCGGGTTCGAATTTGGCGACCACAGGGGGGGAGGGGGGGGGGTCGGACCCCCCCCCCTTTTTGAAAGGGGGGAAGGAGGGGGGGGGTTCCCCGACAACGGATCGGGAAAGGCGAGGAAGGGGGGGGGTCCCCGACGACGGATCGGGAAAGGGGGGGTCCACGACGACGGATCGGGGAAGGGGGGGGGTCCCACCCTCCACCCCCCCTGGGGGAGATCCAGCGGCGCACCCTCCTGCATGTGGACCACATCTGGGCCGCAGTTGGCCGTTCCTTTTGCTCATCCTCTCCCCTCCTGTTCCTCCTCCCCCTCCTCGCTATTTTCTTTTCCTTTTTGAAGGAGCCAATCCGGTCCAAGGCTCCCTTGGAACGGACACCAAGATAGAGCCGACAGAGCGCACGGAACCGACGGAACGGCAGCGGCCAAGGGGGTCTGGAGTTGAGGACAGCACAACACACCCCCAACCCCCGCCAGGACCCCCATTTTCAGGCGATCGCAAACATGGATCAAGGGGCGTGGGTTCGCGACGGGTCCCGTTTCCATGGGAGATCACAAAATTCCGCCGCCGAACGAGGTGGCACCGGCCGCATCTTGGGGAGGGCACCGCCCCCGATCCATGAATTTGACGACCGCGCGCCAAATCCGTGGATCGCTAATCCATGTTTGCGAGCCCTCGAAACGCACCCCCACCCTCAGCCAGGACCCCCATTCCCGGCCCAGTGAAAATCCAGGGGGTCGCAGCTGGGGCTGGGGTGTTTTTTCGGCGTTCTCGGGGGGGCAAACGATCCCTTCTCCCCAGCCAGGAGCCCTGGACCAAGAAGAGGGGGAGGAGGGAAAGGGGACAGGGCGCTGCGCGAAGATGCCCCGCGCGGCCCAAGCGACCACAAGGTCCGCACGGGGTCTTGCAAGATCCTAAGGTCACCAAAGTCACCAATATCACCCATCCCAAGGTCAGCAATCCTTAAGACGCAACTCCTTGGAGGTCCATTTCTGCAGCGGCGCTGGGATGCCCGCAATCGGAAGCAAGCCCAGTCCAGCACGACCCCGCGGGAATCCTGGGCTTCACCCAGCATGTCTTGACGAAACATCTTGGTCAGGGCCGTCCGCGGTCCTCTCCCCCTCCCCCTCCTCCTCCTCCTCCTCCTCCTCCTCTCCTCCTGCCTCCTCCTCCTCCTCCTCCTCCTCCTCTCCTCCTCCTCCTCCTCCTCCTCCTCCTCCTCCTCCTCCCTCCTCCTCCTCCCCCCCCCCCCCTTCCGGCCCTACGCTGCCTCCTCGGTGCCAACCTGCGCACCGCAGCAACCGCGAGCCGTGGCCGCGGCCGCAGCTTGGCATCCAAGGCGCCGCCGCACAAGAAGGTTGCAGGAGGCCTCCCAGGAGATGCCTTCGATCGAAGAAGAAGAAGAAGAAGAAGGATAATAATATGCCTTCGATCGAACGATCGAAGAAGAAGAAGGAGATGCCTTCGATCGAAGAAGAAGACGAAGAAGAACGCCATAAGCAGAAACTTGTGGCGCTCCGCGCGGATATCATGGATCCGCGCCGGCCCCCCCCCAGCCTCCGGCGCCGCCCCTGGCGCGCTCCGCGCGCCAGGGAGGGGGTACAGCGCGGATCCAAGAAATCCGCGCGGACCGTCGAAAGTTTATGTTTGTGCCGTTGTTCTTTCTTCTACAGTCAACCCGCATAGTAAGGATGGGTAACCTTTCCAAGGGTACCCTTGCAGCCCTGCCTCCTCTGTCCATCCTTGGCCACCTTCGTTGGCCGCGCCCCGCCCGAGAAGCTTCGAAATGGGAGTCCGAGGCCCCTGCATCCTTCTCCCGCATCCTTACTATATTCAGGAGGAAAACACACACACACACACACAGACACAATGAATCGTCGATCCCCCAGAAAATATGGGAAAACATGGGACGTGGGGGGGAAGACAGACACCCAGAAAGCATGGGAAAATAGGGGGAATATGTTTGCTTGTGTATATTTCTTTGTGTGCCACAGGGCCCCTTCACATACGGGCGGATTGTCTTCGAGCCGCCCCGCGCTCGGGGAGCCGGGGCCTCGCGGCTGCGCGAGGTGGTCCGGCGAGGGGGGGGGGCACACGCCGCGCGCGCCCCCGGCGGTGCTCGGGGGAGCGCGCGGCCCTCTCGGGCCGGGGGTTCGGGGGGCGGGGCCGCGGCGCGCCGGAATCCCGCGGCGCCGGCAGGATCCGAGGGGGCAGACCACGGGCTCGGCAGCGCTCGGGCGCGTGCCGTTTTTTCCTCGGCGAGGGCCATCGAGGCGCATCCTCTCGCAGCACCTCGCGAGGCATGAACGCACGAGGCCGAGAAAGGCACACGGAATGGACGCCCGAGCGATGGCGGGTAGACGAGAGGTGCTCTCGGGTCGATGGCGCGCAGGGCGTGCGCCAACCCAATGTTTGTTTGTCTCGCTGAGCTCCACTCAGTCTGTGCTGGTCCTCACTGCGTTCCCTACGTGACGTGGGGGGGTCTCGGTGGACAAGCGCACGGTGGCGCGAACGCACGTCCTGAGGACCATCGATCCGAACATGCTTCGAGTCTGTGACGGCCAGTGGCAGAGCCGACCTCCGAAGGGCTGCCGCGTTCCTCAAGAAGTGGGGCCAGCGTGGAGCCGCGTCTCCTCCCCCCCCACCCCACTCCTTCTTCCTTAGCTGCCCCCCATGTTCCCTCCTCCCCTCCCCCTATATATGTTTCCCTTGCTCCTCCTCCTCCTCCTCCCTTGTCCTAATCGTGCCTCCTTCCTGCTTACACGCTCTGATTCCACGTGAGATGGGTGGCGTCCGCGCCCCTGGACGCTTGCCCGTCGGCGCCGTCCACATCTGCCTTCCTCCACCGGCGCCGCGCCGCTCTGCTCCGCTTCTCTCCTCCTCATTATTTGTCGTTTCCCGCGGATTGTCTCCTCCTTCAAGGCCTTCGTCCTCGTCATCCCTCTCAACCCGTCCACGGGCATTTGGGTATCCATGAGATGCAGCCGTGCTCCTCTTCATCATCGTCCTCATCCCTGCCTCCTCCTCCCGCTCCTCCACATACTCGTCTGCCTCCCCGCTCCTCGCTCCCCCTCCCCACTCCTGCTCCTCATTCCTCTACCCCCAGGCCCGTAGGCCCTCCATGGCTGCCCTTGGGCCATCCTGATCATCGCTTGCCCTTAGGCCGTCCAGCGAGGCGGACCTGATTCCCTCTCCTCCACCACCACCTCCCCCACCTCCTCATCCACATCCGTTCCTGTTTCCTCCTCACTCATCCCCCCTCCCTCCTGACCCTTCCTTCCTCATTCCTTCTCCCTCTCCGCCCCACCCGCTCCTACCTCCTCTTCTGTCCCGCACCCCTCTCGCCGAGGAGGAGGAGCAGGGCTCAGCGCCCCCTTCCCGTCGCACTGCCCCCCCTCCTCCTCGTCCTCCTCCTTCTCCTCCTCCTCCTCCTCCTTCTCCTCCTCTCCTCCTCTTTCTCCCACTCCTCCTCCCACTCCTGCTCCTGCTCCTGCCCCCCCCCGACCCATGAGCGATTGGATGGGGACGTGCCACATGTGGTCAGCGCCCTGTGCGATGTTGGGGCCTGAGCAAAGGGGCTGAGAGGGGAGGAGTAGAAGGGAGGAGGCGGAGGAGGAGGAGGCGTCTGTTCAGACCTCCGACGCCGTCCTTTCTCCGCGACGCGTGCCCTCCGTCTCACCCCCCCCCCAGCGCCGCGCGCCCCTGCGCCCGCGCGGAGCAGGTATCCGGAGTGGCGGCGCCAGGCCCTCGAGGATGCGTACGTGCTCTTCTACGAGGACGGGGCCCGACAATGATGGTGCGGACGGCCGATCGCGGGTCCCGCTCTTTCGATCCGATCGATCCCGATCCGCCTGTTCGATGTCGGTGCTGGCCGGCCCAAGAAGGTTCGCGTCCAGTGTGCCGACGGTCCGATGCGGCCCGGTGCTCGCGTGGCGCTGCTGCGCTTCCTGGCCGCCGTGGTGAGGTCCGAGCAGGTGAAATCGGAAGATTGCGCCGCACCACGGATGCATCGGCGGTGAAGCCCGAATCCTGGCTGCTGTTTAGAGGGAGCTGCTGGGAGCCAAGGGGCGACACATTCTCCAAACTCGTTGTGCGTGAAGGCGCGGCATGGGAGCCGCGCCAGGGCAATGTCGGGGCTAGCCAGGCAGCGTCCCCCGCGAAGCCCCAGTAGTCCCCTGGGCTCCTGGAAGCCGACGACGGCGGTGAAGCCCGAATCTCTCTGCACGCGGACGTCGCCACTGAATCGCCGACGTCGCCGGCGCATTGCCGATGCATCGCCGATGCCTTCGATGCCGCATCGGCGATGTGCTGACCCCATCTAACTTTATGCCGGGCGTGCCCCCCTACAGGGGGAATTTCGACGGAAAATTAAAAATACTCCAAACATACACCTAAAAGGTCAAAAATATTCAAACAATAGTCCCCTGACTTTTTGTTGTTGCATTTTTTGATTTTGATTTGTTTCTTTTTCATCGAAAATCCCCTTGTAAGGGGGACAGGCCTGACTTAAATCTACCTCTGACCCCATGTGGGGTGCTGCTGGGGTCCCGCTCCAGCCGCAGGAGGGGGTGCCCGGGCCAGCCTCGCGGCTCCTGCACGAGGAAAGGAGCGAGCGAAGACAACAGAACAGACGACACAAACCAGACGGGCCCAGGAGGAGGAGGAGGAGGAGGAGGAGGAGGAGGAGGAGGAGGAGGAGGAGGAGGAGGAGGAGCAGCAGGCTGGGCGCTCAGCAGCAGGGGTGGGGCAAGCAATGGGGGTCGAGGACCGCAGTCGAGTGCTCCCAAGGGTGCCCAAACCTCTCTGCCACCGCGGGCCCGGAGGGCGGAGGGAGGGCGAGCGCGGCTCCACTCCCAGCGCAGTTTTAAGTCGGGCACGTCCCTCTACAGGAGAGGTGTTCACAAATAGTTTAAAAAGTAATTTGGGGACGAGTTTCGCGTATTTTTGTTTTTTCGCGTATTTGTTGATTTTTGTATTTTTCCTCCAAACTCCGCCTGTAGGGGGACATGCCCAACCGAAGCGCAGTTCCTTCCGTTACCGGGCGTCCGAGCAGAAGGACCCAGACTTCGGGCGGATGGTTTTCCAATCCTGCCCTCCCGGGTGGGGGGGGGTCCCCCATCCTCGGCACCCCCCCCGTCCTGCCCATCGCCAGTCCTCCCCCATTTCCAGAACTCCGCCCCCAGGAGTCTCAATCCCTTCTGGGGGGCACGTTTTCCGTCCTGAGTCGTTATTGCGAAGGCCTTATGGCCGGTGCCGCCGACCCAGCAGACGGAGACGACGAGCAGGACAAGGACGTTGAGGAGGAGCAGGAGGCGGAGGACCTCAGGGAGCAGGAGGGGAGGAGGAGGAGGAGGAGGAGGAGGAGGAGGAGGAGGAGGAGGAGGGAGGGGGAGGGGAACCGGAAGGAGGAGGAGGAGGAGGAGGAGAGGAGGAGGAGGAGGAGGAGGAGGTGGAGGTGGAGGAGGAGGAGAGGGGGGAAATGAATAGGAGCAGGACGAGGCGAGCAGGGCCGCATGGTGCCGGAGTGGTCCCGGGGCCTGGGGGCCTGGAATGTTGGGGGGCTGGTTCCTGGTGCGCTGGGTCCTGGGAGGAGGTCCTCGGAGCTGGGTCCCGGAGGGTCCCGGGGACCTCGGTATTCTGGGTGCTGGGGGTGTCCTGTGGCCGAGCGTCCAGGAGGCCAGTTCGGTTCTGGAGGGGGACGGAGGACAGGGGAGAGATGAGGACGGAGGGAGGAGGGGGGGGGAGGAGGGGCCTTGGTAGAATGCCTCGGCTCTTGGCCCGTCTCAGGCTTTGTGTGGGCCTTAGGACCCCCAGGGGGGGAGTCGTATCTGACGCGGGACCCCCCCGGGACTTCCCCATTTCCAGAACTCCGCCCCCAGGAGTCTCGATCCCTCCCGGGGGGCAATTTATTCATCCTGAAACGTTATTTCACGGTCCTGGGGACCACGGGGACCGAAACTTGCAAAAAGACAGTCCGTCGTGCTTCTGTTCGCAACGCGAGGTTGGGGAAGCCATCCCTTCTCCTCCCCCCTCTCTCCGTGCACATGGAAGATGAGGGTACATATCAGTCAATCAATCGATCGACGCATGACAGACGCCGAGGTTTCTGTCAAGATGGGGGCCAGAGCAGGTGGGGTCGGAGGATCGCGCATGCAGCGGCGATGCAGCGCGATCTGGCGCCCGATGTTCTCCATCCCGACGGCCGCCGACAGCCGATACATCGGCGATGCGGCGCGATCCTCCAGCTGCGTCCGCTCCGGCCCCATCTCGGGCGGCCTCCAGGCGTCGACACGAACGAAGGGGGTCTTGGGAGAAGCGGGCACTGTCAGGCAGGCCTCGAATCGAGACAAATCGGCCGAGAGCGTTTCGGAGCGCTTTCAGAGCCTTCCGGAACGCTCCGAAACGTCCTTGGAACGTTCCGAAACGAACGCGGCGCCCGAAACATCCTCCAAAGACACCCATACTCAGAGATTGTAAAGGCCTTGCGACTGGTGCC